TTCTCTTGACTTGCGGCTATATTCAGAGTCTTGGAACAGCGGCTTCGCGCGCCAACCCCCATCCCCCCTCCTCTCTTCCCCTCCTTTTCCCCTCCCCCCACCCTAAATTTAAAGGTTATGTTCGTTTCAAGACTCTGAATATAGTCGCAAGTCCCCCCTCTCCCTTCTCTTCTACCCCCCCCCCTTCTCTTGACTTGCGGCTATATTCAGAGTCTTGGAACAGCGGCGGCGGCGTTGGCGGCGATATCTTTTTGTAATATAGGTAGATATATATAATCGACTGATCTCGTGGGTGTTGGAGCAAGAGATAAAAAAAATAATGTGACCTGCATTCGACCTCTTGTGAAAGTGGCCTTGAACATTCAAACTGAAGAAACAAAGGGTCGTGTTTCAAAGAAGAAAAATGATCTTGTTTTCGTGATGTAAATGATTTTTAAATCTTCGAAAAAAATTCCTTCTCTTTTTTTTTATTATTATTAGAGATGGTATTTTTTTTTAGGTATCATAAATCGTAGTCGTAAAAAAAAGCTATAAACTCAAAATCGAGAAATAATTTTTTTACATATATATGTACAATTTTTGATGTTTCTTGATGCCAGGTTAAAAGACGGGGGCGCCGGTGAATAATAGGAAAAAAAAAAGAATCATAAAGAGGAATCTAATCTGTTCGCATTTCATACATCAGGTAGAAAAGTCAGCTGCCGAGAAAGAATTCTATTGTGTTTGGGGAAAAAAGATTCATCGACTGATGTTCTTCATCATTTTTCTCATGATGCATTAAAGCAAAAAAAAAAAAAAAGAAACTGGTTTTCTTTTTTGGGGAAAATGTAACAAAAAATACACTTGAAATATTAAATAATTTTTCAATATTTCAAGTTTATTTTTGTTAAATAGAATTTCAAAAAGAAATTTTGTGAGTAAAATAAAAATTTCATTTTGGGGAAATTAACATCTGCTATCTACTTTTAACTCTTTACAATTTTCGAATTGAGATCGATCACTATTTTTTTCGAGAAAAATGATATGGAAATTCTAAATTTTCATCGCTTATAGGAGCTTTTCAACATTCACTGATCCTTATGCAAAACCATTTGTTCTTTAGTTCGAAATACAAAATACTGTATTTTTAAAAATTAAAATCAATTTTATTTGTTAGTTTTCTGATTCGAAAGTCGAGAACTTTTTTCAAAAACAAAAATTTATTTCATTATTCAAATAATCTATTACTTTATTTATCAAAAATAAATATTTTCAAACCAAATACACTATGAAGAAAAGGGCCCTTAGAAGCAAACGAATTATAGGTTATGTTTAGAGTAATTTTACATTGATTAAAAGGTTCCTTATTAATTTTGTAAAATTAAAATCAGTTTTTTTTAAATATTTTGGATGTATTTAAATATCAATTATTTCTATTGAGAGTTGATCCTCTTTGTGTATTTTCAATTTAAAAATTTCAAACCATAATCGGAGCGCATGATTATCCTATAAAAATCATTGGTTAGAATTTTGATTTGAATGAATTTTATTACATATAATTATTTGTTAGATGAAGTTTCATTTTTTAAATTGGAATTTGATACAATTTCTCTTTAAACGAATTTTTATTGTACAAAATTCTTAAAATGCCGAATTTTTATTTGTCCGAAATTGCAAATGGCTTGAACAAACAATCAACAGAAAAATTTTGGCGCGTTTTTTAAAATTGACCAATCAGAAATTGTCAAGAAAATCGTGATTGGTCAATTTTAAAAAACGCGCCAAAATTTTTCTGTTCATTGTTTGTTCGGCTATTTGCAATTTCGGACAAATAAAAATTCGGCATTTTAAGAATTTTGTAAAATAAAAATTCGTTTAAAGAGAAATTGTATCAAATTCCAATTTGAAAAATGAAAATTCATCTAACAAATAATTATATGTAATAAAATTCTTTCAAATCAAAATTCTAACCAATGATTTTTATGGGATAATCATGCGCCTCCCATAACCTGTATTTTTTTTTTTTTTGCTTCTAAGGTCCTTTTTTCTTCAGAGCGTGTCACAAATAATTTTTGAAACCAAATTATTGAATTAAATACACAGAAAATTAAAAGGCATTAAAATAAGCTGCAAAGATTATTATTTTAATCTAATTTTGCTTATTTAAAATGGATTAAAATAAGCAAAATTGGATTAAAATAATAACCGTTGCAGCTTATTTTAATGCCTTTTAATTTTCTGTGTAAACTGCGTATTTGAACCAATAATTTCTGTATTTAAAACAAATTAACTCAAAAATTATTTGGTTCAAATAAATATTTATTTGTAAAGTATAACTGATTTTATTTGAATCAAATAAATTTTTTTTCCGATGTACGTAATTCCGATTATTTTTGTTAAAGTAACTCATTTTGCAAAAGTTCCTTTCGTATATATAGTATATACACGAGCAGTGCCGAAAGCAAAGAACGAGTTTCAATGTTGTCGGATAATCTATGTTCGCTTTGTGTGCCGATTCTTTTCTCATCCCGCGGGTCCTGTCGTCAATGAATCTGGTATATAATACAACTGGAAAGTCCAGCAACAGTACATAAATATCGTCAAAGCATTTATATATATATATATATATATATATATATATATATATTGAGCGGTCATATTTCATCGACGCAAAAAAGCACGTCGGATAATTCAACGACTCAATCCGTCTCTTGAATCTCGTCGATATTCCGAGCGCTCAATTAAGGCATCAACTGACATTCAACTTTTGTTTCTGTATTTATGTATAGAGACATTGGATATCGAGAGAAAGAGAGAGAGAGAGAGAGAATCTCATGACATCGATCGACAGAACGCCCAGGAGATTCTCAACTACCTGTTAAAAGTTCTCCCTCCCTCCAACATTATATTTACCCACTTTATTTATATTCTTTGTGGATTAGCATTAAAAGCCATACCACATCGTTAAGTTGAGGTTTGCTTAAATACCACCCGGAATGCGAACATTCACATAACGATTAGTATATATGTCTGTTTTTTCACTCTCGAAAATTTCACAGAGAAAAGATTTTGAAAAACTGACATCGGATTTGTAATCCGCGACCCCAAAAACCCCTAAGTAATCAGTTTCAAGCGAATTTGATGCATTTTTTTTTTAAAAAGTCGTCCGCCATTTTGAATATCTGACTTCGGATTCGTAATCAGCGAACTCAAAAAATCCCCGAGTAAAAAAGTTTCAGGCAATTCTGAGTATATTCGATTTTAATTTGTTTTATTCGATTAGATTTAATTCACTAGAGTACACTGAGAAAAATATGCTATTGAATCAATAGCATTTCTGCCAAAGGTATAAAAATTATTGATTCAAAAGCATATGCTGTAGAATCTGTAAAATAATTTACAAATTTTATAGCATATGCTTTTGAATCTTTCTGCCAAAGGTATAAAAATTATTGATTCAAAAGCATATGCTATAGAATCTGTAAAATAATTTACAAATTTTATAGCATATGCTTTTGTATCAATAATTTTTATACCCTTGTCAGAAATGATATTGATTCAATAGTATATTTTTCTCAGTGTATATATATTACGGAAAAAATTTGTGCAAGAATCATTCCTAAATTTGTTCAGGAACTGACGATATGAGAATAATTTAAGAAATCTTATTTATATTTTCTTTGAAAAATTCTAAGCAGTATTTCTATAAGAATTGTAGAGAAATTCAAGACAACTTCCTAAACTCACTACACAGAAAGTCTTGAACTTGTTTTTAGAATAAATTTTTACGTTTGAAAAAAAATTTACTCTGGGAGTCATAATAAAAATACAAGTATTTTCTTGAATGATTTTTGTATTATTCTGTAAATTTTGTAGAATTTTTCTCATATCCTCAGTTCTTGAACAAATTTAGAAATGATTCTTGAACAAAATTTTTCCGTGTACTCTAGTGCAATTTGCTCTAGAGCAAATAACCGTTACCAAATACAACTGCGCTTGCGCTACGACAACTCTCTCTCATTGGTAGAAAAAGGCGCTTTTATTTGAAATATTATTTCAAAAATTGATCACATTAGAATTTGATAAGAAAAAGTTTATTTCAAATTTAAAATTTATTTTTATATGCGGGTAGAATTTTTTTTTTTTTTTGGTAGACTTTTTATTGGATTAAAATTTATTTTCACTTTTGAACAAGTTGGTACTTTAAAGATATGAACCTTTCTTAATGGCTATTAAGTAGCCAGGAGCATCTTATCAATTTAATGGAAACTTTTATACCAAATCCACTTTGCCTTTTTTTATATATATATATACATATAATATACAATAATGCAATCCACTATATCTGAAAGATGCACTCAGGAAGAATTCTTGGGTGGTTATCAAAAAAAAAAAAAAATATATATAAGAGGTTCTAGTTCTTTAATTTATGTTTTTAACGCGCCTCAATTCTTTCACGCATTATGATTTTGACAGTGCACTCTCGTACCGGTTTTACCTGTTTTTAAATCCTTGCGACATTAACTCTTTTTCGTTACGTGTTTAATCATAAATGAAAAAAAAAAATATTTTTTCTTCCATTTGAAAATGAAAACAAAACAACATTTAATCGTTTTTCTCTTACAATAAAACTAATATTATAGATAAAAACCAGAATTATTGTCATAATCCTTTATTTTTCATTTGTGGTTTGGTAAAAAAAAAAACCAAAGATTGTTCCACATTGAAAAAAAAAATTAACATCAGACGCTTTCTATAGTAAAGCTGAGGATATATACGTTAGACATCTAACGCCCACTCGAACAGGTTTTAACCGTAAGAGATTTTTTTTTAAAACACAGTTTGTCCTTTCAAAAATTTTAGACGCTAATACTGTCTAAAATTTAAAATTTCTAAATAAAAAGAAAAGAATATATTTAAAATATACCGATGTTCCCAGTTTGAAAAATTTTAGTTTAGTAGAAAAATACTTATATGGAATAATAATAATAATAATAGTAAAAAATTTGCTTTTTTCTCACTTTTGCCTTTGACAAATTCTGAATTTCCATCAGCTGTGACATTGTGATTATCAATAAGAATCACTAGCAGAATGAACGTCAAGCCAAAAATATAAATGGTCGACGGCACTTGAAGTCCGTGTCGATTGTTGAACATGATGAGCGCTCATGCCCTCCAAGAACCCATGGGTTTTGTCGAAATTTTTTTCTCGTAACCCCTCGTAAAATTCGACTTTTCACATTTGTCGAATGAATTTCCTTTTTTTGTTGCCATTTTGCTCGATTCAACGTTTCCAATACATTTTCAGTTGTGAGAAATTCTCCTACACCTGTAAAACAAAAAATTAAATATTATTATAAAGCTTCACATATATATATAACAATTTTTTTAAAGAATAATTGATAAATTATGATTTCTATTCGCGTGTCAAAATTATTGGTAGGTACTTTTTTTATTTTATGTGTCTGCAAGAGAAAAGATGGTCAAAAAAAAAAAAAAAAAGGGCAAATGAAATAAAAGACGTGTGTGAGAGAGGGATGGAAAACAATGCTGTGAACAGCAGGTGTTGAGTTACGTCGGCTCTTCTTCTTCTTCTTCTCGAAAAAGATTTCTCTTGTTTTGTGGTCTCCGCAGGGCACTCTCGAGGTTCGCAAATTCTTCTCTGGTTCTTTCGCACTATCCGCTGTCCACAAAATCTTCCTTTTTTTTGTTTTTTTTTTTCGACTCGTAACTTGATATTAAGTATACTATATAGTGTCATTGAATTTTATTAATAAGTTTGGAATTTTTTCTAGTAGATTTTGAATCGTTGATATAATAATTTTTTAATAATTTTATGCGTAAATTTATTCATGGGAATTGACCAATAGAAACTCTTGCGGAAATTGCTAACCTAACCTTACCATTTCTAACCTAACTATTAAGGGATTCCTAACCTAACTATTCCTAACTTAAGTTAAGTTAGGAATAGTTAGGCTAGGAATCCCTAAATAGTTAGATTGGGAATAGTTAAGTTACTTAACTATTCCTAACCTAACTATTCCTAATCTAATTATTTAAGTCCAACGCAGAATAGAAATGTAATCGGAATCGTAACCGCAAACGCAACCGGAAGAATGAGTTAGAGAAGGACAAGCAATGTACCTATCCTTCTCTAACTCATTCTTCTGGTTGCGTTTGCTATTACGATTTCGGTTACGTTTCTATTCTGCGTAGGCCTTTTAGAATTTCTAACCTAACTATTTAGGGATTTCTAACCTAACTATTTAGGATTCCTAACCTAACTATTTAGGGATTCCTAACCTAACTATTCCTAACTTAACTATTCCTAACCTAACTATTTAAGGCCTGAGCAAAATAGAAACGTAATCGGAATCGTAACCGCAAACGCAACCGGAAGAATGAGTTAGTGAAGGACAAACAATCTACCTATCCTTCTCTAACTCATTCTTCTGGTTGCGTTTGCGATTACGGTTACGTTTCTATTCTGTTTAGACCTTAACTATTTAGGGATTCCTAACCTAATTATTCCTAATTTAACTATTCCTAACCTAACTATTTAAGGCCTGAGCAGAATTGAAACGTAACCGGAGTCGTAACCGCAAATGCAACCGGCAGAATGAGTTAGTGAGGGACAATCAATCTACCTATCCTTCTCTAACTCATTCTTCTGGTTGCGTTTGCGATTACAATTCCGATTACGTTTCTATTCTGCTTAGGCCTTTAGGTTAGAAATCCCTAAATAGGTTAGAAATTTCTAACCTAACTATTTAGGGATTCCTAACCTAACTATTTCTAACTTAACTATTCCTAACCTAACTATTTAAGGCCTGAGCAAAATAGAAACGTAACCGGAATCGTAACCGCAAACGCAACCAGAATAATGAGTTAGAGAAGGACAAACAATATGTCTATCCTTCTTTAACTCATTCTTCCGGTTGCGTTTGCGATTACGATTTCGGTTACGTTTCTATTCTGCTTAGGTCTTTAGGGATTCCTAATCTAACCATACCTATAATCAATCCTAACCCAAAAGTTTTGTTCGTTTCAGGTTCTAAGCAGAATAGAAACGGAATCGTAATCGCGAACGCAATCGGAGGAATGAGTTAGAGAAGGATAGACATATTATTTGTCCTTCTCTAACTCATTATTCCGGTTGCATTTACGGTTACGATTCCGATTACGTTTCTATCATGGAGTAGTATAAGAAGACCGAACGACGTATACATTGAAAGTGGACCAAATTTTTGTAACTGCTTAGTGTCATGAAAATACGTAATGGAACACAAGCGCTCTCGTGGGAAGTATGTAAACAGTGGGAAAAATTAGATGTACGTTGAACATAACCAAAAAATACATTGCTCCTTATTTTTAAAATTTTTACAATGGCTGACTGTCCAGCTGAGTTTAACACAATCAGTGGCGCTAGGGTTCCGTTACGTAAAGCAGTTACCAAAATTTGATCTACTTTTAACGCAGATTTAACATGGTTGTTCGGTCTCCTTATACTACACTCCATGGTTTCTATTCTGCGTTGGCCTTTATACATTCATAACTAGTAAATATTTTATTTAGAAATAAATTATCAATCTTAATTTTTAATAATATTTATGGGTTTGAAAATTACAGTTGATCTTAATTGTGTTACAGGCAGTTGCTGTTTATCGGCATTAATTACGGGATCATATGTACAAGGGCCGTGACAACAATCAGGATTCAAAATGGGTAAGTCCTATTATTTTTCCATCTAATTCGTTGCATAATTACTATAAAATAATCTTTTTTTTTCTACTATATCTTAACCGTTAATTTCGAAACAAAATTTGTATCATCAGAGTACATGGCGATCAATTAGTATATAAATAAAAATCGATTCGTCAAAAAATTTGTCCAAATTGCGTAACGGTCGTCACACGAACCGGTTTCTTTTGGAATTTCGTTCCGCATGACGCCATTATGTGGCGCCACTTTTAATTGAAGAATTAAAAATTGATATTACAATACGAATTAAAGAAAATATTTTTTTCCGATTAAAAGATTTTTTTTGTGGTGATAATTTTCTTCTTCTTTTTTTTCCAAATTTGGGATAATTTAAATAATTTAAAAGACAATAAGATTTTTTGTCTTTGTCGCGCAAAGAAACGAGGAATTTCCTATATGGGATTTTGCGAAGAAAGAGAATTGTGGATGGGACTACAAAGTGCCATGAATACCAAGAGAAACTTTGCAAAAATAATAATAAAAAAAAAAAAAAATGTACGAGGACATCGGTTGTATTTATCGACACGATTCTGCGGGCAGAGGCCATTTTTGTTCTCCTTTTTCTGGTCCTCCTTCGCCTTTTCACGAGACTACTCCCAAGTAGTTTGTAGTGTGTATATATATAAGCGGCGTCTTTTGAGTCCCCCCCAAAACAAAAAAGTTGGAGACACGGCGGTCCTTCGTGTTAACTGCACTCCCTTATACATTCATATCCTTGTTTAACATTGTTTCCTTAAAACAACACCAATTCACCTTTTCTTTTTTTTCGATTTTTAAAATAAATGAAGAAAATTTTTTGGGGAAAATAAGAGGAAATTTTTTTTTTGAGAATGAACGAAGAGATCGAAGGGGAAATAATAATAAACGGAGACAAGTCAGACGGGTTAACGGTGAAACAGTACGTGATGGGAGATCATTATTCCCAATTTGGAGAGTGGTTCTTGTCATTTGAAAAGGAAAAGGTTCGCGGATGTAGAACACGAGGGTAAAATTTTAGTCTTAACTCACTTTTCTAAAGTACTGGATTCTTTTTGGAATCCATCTCTAAATTTTGGAATCAAACTGCGAAAATTCGAAATACTTTTTTTTTGCCAAGAAAACCAAAAGAGATTTTGCATTGTTCCACTGATCATCTTAGTACTTCCAATCCTCTTTGGAATTTGAGAGAGCCTCGGAACAATTTATCCTCGAGGTCAGCGTTTTTTTTATATATATAGTGTCTTGAAATCGTGAGGACTTGTATTTCGCATAGAACTCCAACTATTGGTATGGGTATATATAATCTGGCCTCGGTAACCTTTCGAAATACCTCGTCGATCAAACGTTGTGTTCCAAGTTTCCTAAATGCTCGCGCTCCAGAATTCTTCAAATATAAAACTCGATCCAAGAATTCGGTTCCGATTACATTTTTTTTTTTTATCTTTTCAGTTCAGTTCCATAAAACAAAAGGAATTTTAAAATAACAAAATTCTACCTAAAGAATTTAAAATGTTACACTGTAAAACATTTACACTGTTCTTACACTGTTACGAAAATTACCTCCATGAAGTTGGCGTCGACAATTGTTTTTCACAAAGATCCAAAAATGTTAAATTAATTTTAAACAGATTTTGGGTTCAAATAGAGAAAATACTTTTTAAGAATGACCCAAAATCTATTTAAAAATAATTTTGATATTTTTGGTGTGAAAAAAAAATTTCAACCTCCTTCATGTGAAGGTCCAAAATTTAATACCAACTTTAAGGTACTAAATTGTCATTTGGTTCTATTTTGATAAGTAAAATTAATACTTTCGTTTCAAAAGTGCGATTTTTCCTTTATGAGAAATGAACTTTTAGTAAAGGTTTGAGAAAGTTAGTTTTCAATAAAGGCACTTTCGTGAAGAGCATCTTGCATGATATTGCATAATATGTGAAACGTTAAAGGTTAAAATGGAATAAAGAAAAGTTGACAGGCGTTGAAAGAATATTTAACAAAAGGAAATAATAGTTTAAAGCAAATTTTTCCAAAAAAAAGCCTCGAGTTTTATTTTGTTGATGGTCCTCTGATTTGAAAATTTAACGGCAGAAACTATATAGAATTATTTTAGAATTTCAAAAATTATAGCGATGTTATCGATCGTGGCACGTGAACTGGATCGTGCTGAATAAATACATGATTCGAAATCTCTTCGAAATTTTATATATGTATATATATACACAATCTTGATTGGGACATAGGAATAATTTTTTTTCCTCGAAAAAATCGATTTTTGTTTAAAAAAAAAAAACACATTTCGATTAATTTTTACTATCTAAAATCATCGTTTATAATTTTTAGATTCAATTCATTTTTAGAAACCGAAGATTTTGCAAAAGTCATTAATCAAAAAAAAAAGCAAACAATAGACTGTATTCATTATATATGCGAATTCACAATTGCAGAATGACTAAACATTTTTGAATAATAGTCTATACCACGAATTTAAAATTTAACCGCTTTATTGTGAATGTTAAATTGTTATAAAATAGTTCGTTAGCGAAATACAAAAAAAATAATAATAATAATAATTGGTTAATTTACATTCGAATTATATTTAATCAGGTGAAAAATCGAAAATTAAAGCAGTGAATGGTAAAATTAAGTAAATAAAATTTATTATTAAATTCATTTAAATGAATAATTTTAAATTGAAAACTAAATAATTTAATGTTATTTAATTTAATTATAAAAATTTAATAATAAAATAATAATATAATAATTAATTAATAATTATATTAAATCATTAATTGAAAAACTTAAAATTCCCTCTAAATAATATTTCATAGCAATGACGATCGGAATATTGGCTAACTTTATTAGATACATTATAACCAAAATGTCATTCTCGCCAAGAGAGGTTTGGTTAAATTTTGAACAAAATTTGAAATTTCATTCAAAATTCTATTAAATGTAATGTATTGAAATTAAATAAAAGTCATCAAATTTTTTTCATTCTTTTTTTCACAAGGATTGTAACCTCACAAAAATCTTTATGTATTCATCAGAATGAATAATTTAAAAAATATTTTTGGTTTACATGTTTCACGAAACGTTTGTTCCAGTGAGTAAAATAATAAAAAATTAATTACTATTTTCTTTAATTATTATTATTACAAAATTATTGTAATTTTCTAAATTAATATTAAATAAATGACTTATTTAAAATAATTCCCAATGAAAATAATCTTTCATAGAATCAACTCAAGGCATACATAGGGGGGAGAATATTTTAAAGAACAAATATTTTAGATCAAAATCACTTAAAAATGTTAAGTCAGATCCATTTTTAAAATCGACAAATGTAAATAAAGGAAAATTTGAAAATAATTTAAATAAAACAAAAACCATATACGGTGGTACAAAAAAAAGATCGTCATTGGAAAAAAGTAATTCACTCGATAGTCTTTATCATATTAATAATGGATACAGTGGAAATCATGAATTTAAAAATTCTTTATGCAACAATAATGAGAAAAATATGAAAAAATCATCATCAAATGAAATAAAAAATTCAAAACAAAATTTTTTAAATCAAGAAGCACGATCTTATGCAAAACTTATTGCAAATTATAGTCGAGCAATGGAAAATGATTCAATTTATACAAAATCATTTGATCAAAATTATGGAAGATCATGTGCATCAATAACAGATTCTCAATTTAATTCATTTGTTCCTCCATTTTCTAAAATGAAAAAAAAAGAAATTAAAAATGGTTCAATTTTAAATAGAAGAAATTCATCATTATCATCACCAAAATATCGTCATGATATTTATAATAAAAATGAAAATCGAAATTCATTTTATAGTACAGATTCGGGTACATATAAAGAGATTGTGAAAATTGATAATATAATTGTGACGAAAAATACAAAATCAAATCAAAAGGAAAATATTGTTGAAAGTGATTTTAAATTAGATGTTAAGGATGTCCTTGACAGTTGCACTGCACGTGCTGATTGGTTAGATAAGGTTATAAAGGCACACAAGGAACTCAAAATGAAAAATATGATTCAAAATAATAATTACATTTCTAAAGCACCGGAGGCGAAATTAACTGCTATTAGTAAAATGGAGCAAGCAAGCAAAGTAGGTTTTTGGTAAAAAAAAAATTATTTTCTTTAAAAATTTTCATTTTTATCTCTCCCTTTTTTTTAGTCGGATGGCAATAATTCAAAACCAGTTCCATTACTGAATGTTATTGACGCCGAATGTCCTATGGAATCATCATTTAAACCAGTTATCGACTCTTATGCATCTGAGATAAAATCAAATGTAGATCGAGAAAATCCCACACAATTTATAAAATTAAAGAAAAATACATCTAATGATCAAAATTCGAAAATTATTGACAAAATGCCAAATGAAATTAGCCAAACAAAGAAAACAGAAATAAGAGAAAATTCTCAAAAAGGTGACAATTTTAATAAATCCAATTCATCGAATTCTGACAACACTAAAGACACAACAAATCCCCCTCGAAATTGCATTAATTTTCAAATAAATGGTCAAACATCGTCTGATTTTGTCAAAAATAAATCATCAATAAAAATTTTAAATTCATTGGAAAAAATTGAAATTCGTATACCAATTAATAATCTATTTTATGATGATAAAAATGACAATTTGAAATTAAAAAAATCCACATTAAATCTTCAGATATTGGCAAAAATTGAAACATCCGAAAATAATGATAACGTGAAAAATGAAACAGATTTGAATGTAAAATTAATTGATACATCGTTAAAAAAAGTATCAAAAGAAATTAATAACAAGGAATCTGCCAAGGAATCATTAGTTAAAATTAATGATAATTTAGCTAAGGAAATTAGTAATAAAAATAATGAAAAAATTAGAAAACGAACAATAATTTCGCGAGTGATAGACAAAGAATTGGAAAAACATGTGAAAAAAATTACCACATCACCATCATTGACAACAACAACTGAGACGAAGAAAAATTTCTCTAACATGGAAGCAGTGAAGCCTGAAACAATAAAACTGAACCAAGAGCCATGGACAATTGACAAGGTGACAAAGACGATGGACATGGTGATTGATCAAAAGAAGCTAAACGAGATTGACAAAAAAATTTTAGCCCCCACAACATCAGGTACGTTGAAATCTAAATTGAAAAATCCAATCGAAGAAGAAGAAGTGGCGTCGAAAAAAATAAATGAAAAATACACCGTAACTAAAGTATCTCCTGGACCTTTGAAAATTCATCACACTGCAAAATCTCATACAACAGATAAAAAGCAAAGAACGATCAACATTGATACAAAAGATCGAATTGACAATAAAATCATTGCAAAAAAAGAGATTCTTAAAAAGAGGAACGAAATAAAAAAAGACATAGTCCCCAAGGAATTGAAACCATTGGAGAAGAAAAAAGATGGAACATTAATCGATTATGGTTTAAATGTTGTGACAAGAAAAAATAAGGATCAGCCAATTAAGGCGACAATTAAGGAAATTTTAACTGTTAAAGAGAAGAAAATAAATTCTTCAATTGATCAATTAAAAACACCATATCAATTGAAAAAAACCGAAATATTCAATCATCAAAAATTAGAATCAAATCAAATTTTATCGGTCGCAACTTCTGAATTATCCACACCATCCCACGAGGATTTAAATGAAGCAAAATTCATCGATTTCAAAATGGTACTTAAACTTCAAGATTTTGATGAAAATCACATTTTTTCTGGAACATCATCAAAGGTTTATATAGTTAATTACAAAAATACAATAAATTTGAGTTAAAATTTTTGAAATTTGTTTTTTGTATATACAGAAAACAGGCGTTTTAAAATCGTTGAAAAAGGACATAATCGTGAAACCCAATAATAAAGGATCAAAGACCACGGATTCATCATTATCGTCAATGATAAATGATAAAAGAGACATTACCGTGAAAATTGATGATTGCTCGCAAAATCATCAGTCGGCGTGTAAAATAAATTCAATGAGAAAAAATACAGTGAAATTTTCCAAGACGAATGAAAATAATGGAACACGAAGTGCCGGACATGTTGAGAGAATAAAAAAAATTCCATCAACAATGAATAAATTGTCATATAGAGAAAAGACGAATACCATTAAAAGTGCATCATTATTGAAGGATCGATTACAACGTTCGGAAAAGGAAATTTTATATTCAAATTGGCTTCAAAATTACAATAATAAGGTAAAAATTTCCGAATTACATCATTAATGTATTGTCTTTTAAGGTACGTTTACAATACAAAGCACTGTTGGTTCTTTATGTATTTTTTTGCATTGTAGACAAGATTTTTAAGGTACGTTTACAATACGATGTACGATTGGTTAATACATTTTAATATGTATTCTTCGCATTGTTGACAGACCTTAAAGTATGTATTTCATAGGAAAAATACCAATGTTCCATTTAACCAAAAAATTCACCATTTTTCATAATTCTCATTCAACTATTTGCTCTAGTAAAAATTAAAAGTTACTAAATTTTAACTGAAATGTCACTAGAGCAGGGTGCGGTAGTTGACGAATGGGAATTTTTGTTATTCGAGGAACATTGATATCTTTTCTATCGTGATTCTTAAGGTCCATTTACAATACAAAGGAGGATTTGTTGATTCGGATATAGTTCCGAATAGCACATACCTCCGATTTCAATAAAACTTAGTATCCCTACGTAATTTGGTGCGCTGATTACCAAAATCATAGTGAAAATTGGCGGAAATTTAATTATCATGGTAAAAACCATAAAAAACACCATAAAATCATGGTTTTTTTCGATTATCTCGTAAAAAACAAAAAACTTCGAAAAAAGTTTTAGACGAAAGTTGTAGATCTCTAAAAAACACACATTTCATGTTTTATGCATTTTTTACCAAAAGTCATTATTTTTCGAGAAAAACGCAAAATAGTAAACACGGCCTTCGGCCGCGTAAGGTACTGCTCGCTTCTCTTTTTAAGAAATCTTGGCGAGAGGGGGTGGATGTGTCCGAAAGTAATTTGCAGAAATTGTGGGGTGGAGTCTACAGCAGCGGTAAACGCAAAATAGTAAACACGGCCTTCGGCCGCGTAAGGTACTGCTCGCTTTTCTTTTTAAAAAAACCTTGGCGAGAGGGGGTGGATATGGCCGAAAGTATTTTGCGGAATTCGTTGGATCCTGAGTAATGGTGAATATGATAATTTCTGCAAATTACTTTCGGACACATCCACCCCCTCTCGCCAAGATTTCTTAAAAAGAGAAGCGAGCAGTACCTTACGCGGCCGAAGGCCGTGTTTACTATTTTGCGTTTTTCTCGAAAAATAATGACTTTTGGTAAAAAATGCATAAAACATGAAATGTGTGTTTTTTAGAGATCTACAACTTTCGTCTAAAACTTTTTTCGAAGTTTTTTGTTTTTTACGAGATAATCGAAAAAAACCATGATTTTATGGTGTTTTTTATGGTTTTTACCATGATAATTAAATTTCCGCCAATTTTCACTATGATTTTCGTAATCAGCGCACCAAATTACGTAGGGATACCAAGTTTTATCGAAATCAGAGGTATGTGCTATTCGGAACTGCACCCGTTGATTCACTGTTATTAATTCTGTGGGGGCGCATGATTATCCCATAAAAATTAAATTAAAATTTCCATTTTAAAAATTTTTATTAGATATAATTATTTTTTAGACGAATTTTTATTTTTCCAATTAACATTTGACAGAATTACTTTTTAAACAAATTTTAATTTAACATAATTCTTATATATCGAAATTTTATTTGGCAGAATTCTTAAAACGCCGAATTTTCATTTGTCCGAAATTGCAAATGGCCGAATAAACAATTGATTTTGGCGCGATTTTTAAAATTACTAAATCACAATTTTTGTGGATAATTTTTGATTGGTTGATTTTAAAAATCGCGCCAAAAACCTTTCTGTCAATTATGTTTGTTCGGCCATTTGCAATTTCGGATAAATGAAAATTCGTCGTTTTAAGAATTCTGCGAAATAAAATTTCGTTGTCTAAGAATTCTGTTAATTAAAAATTCTTTAAAAAAAAAAGAAATTCTGACAAATGTTAATTTGAAAAATGAAAATTCGTGTAAAAAATAATTCTATGTAATGAAATTGTTGAAAATTCTCACTAATTATTTTTTATGGTATAATCATGCACCCCATTCTGTGTCATTGTAGATAGACCTTAAAGTACCTCGTCAGTTTTGAATAAACGTCCGACAATTACAAATGCATTCAGAAAAAATACAGAAAATTTGTATAAAATTGTAATAAAAGGAAATTTTATAATTATGAAATAATAATTTCAATTGAAAATTTAAATAATAATAATAATAATAATAATAATAGCATTGAATAAGACTAAAAAATAGAAAAAAAAAGTAAATAAAATATTTTTTTTTCTTTTTCTTCTGCAAAATTATTACCAAGTGTGAAAGTAAGCGCAAGGATATTTCCAGCATATAGTGAATAAATGGTCCGGTTTATTAGACATACTACTGCGTTTGCTGTGAGTTTTATTGGTCATGAAACTCATGAAGATTGGGTAATTAAAATTCTCATTAAAGCCACTAGAGCGGCATCTTGAAACGAATTGCAGACAATGGGAGCTTGAACGAGGTCGTGAGCCCACCAGAAGGGATAGTGAATATAGTCTTTTGCCGCGAGAGAGAGAGAGAGTAGCAAGAAGGGCACGAGTGCTTCGATATATAGCCAACTGACCATAAAGAATCAAGAAAAGACCCAAGAGCCGCGGCGTCGTATCTCTCGCTTTCAATCAGAAAAAAAAAGTCCCTCAAACGATAAAAGCCCCAACGAGAAGAGTGCAATATTAACTTTTATCTGATCATATATATATATATATATATAATTTTTTCTGTACCCTCTTTTAAGAAAACTCGAAAAGAAAATATTACTGCGAATAAAAAAATATTTATTTTCTCAGCCGCAGATCTAAGAATTTATATCTCGAATGATGAATGATGATCTTGCAAGGTTGCGGTAGTGTCCCGCTGGGGTTAATTTTTTGGTAAATCCCAAAATACAGGTAGAAAAATTCTCCATCTATTAATATTGATCCTCCTTCTCTCTATATATGGAATATCTCTCTCTCTCTCTCTAAAAAAAAGGTTCGGGAAAAATTAGTATATTCAAAGGCAGGAATTTTGTGAAAAAAAAAGAACCACAAAAGTCAAAACAATGAATTTAATTGTGAGAAAGAAAAAAAAAATCTTCCCAGAACTATACATCAAATATAATATTTTACGAGTAGATCGTAAAAAAAAAATTGACACAATCCCAAGAGGCGGTTTCTTTAATTAATATTTCTGATGAATTTTCTTTTTGAACGTGGAAAAGAATTTATTTCACATATCTGTCTTTATTTAAAAAAAAAAGATTTAATTTTTTTTGACTTTCTAACCTTAAAATTATAACGTATTTAAGGTCATCCTTTAAGGAGTAAGAGCAAAATGATGGAAGCGAGTAAAGTATAGAATATACGAGTTTTCGTCGACCCGGATCTAGCGTATTCGCGACACGTATATTCACCTGTACTTGTGTGTATAGAACGTTGTATGTGTGTATAGCCATATTTATATATATATATATATAGAATCGGTCCCTATGTATATGGTATTGTATATTTATAGCCGAGATTCTGGTCCCACTTTGCAAGGACGACCAGGCGCCCCTTCTCTCTCTCTCTTTTGATTCGACGTGCATCCGATCATCCTTTGTTTGTTTTAATTATGTTCGCGTCGCACGCCATTTGGACGTTAATAATTTTTATATTAATTTTTTTTTGTATGCATCTCATCGTATTTCGATTAATTTAGCTACTGAATTACACGCTATTCACGTATATATATATATATCGTGCATTGTAGACGGACCTTTATATATTTTTACATTGCAGAAAGCCCTTAACGTACGTCTACATTGTAGACACGCCCTTAATTTCGGGATATTTACTTTGTAGATTGACCTTAACATAGGTATGTTTAAGGCAGACCTTTATTTATATTTACATTGTAGACAGACCTTTATTTATATTAACATTGTAGACGGACCTTTATATAAGGTATGTTTACATTGCAGAAAGACCTTAATGTACGTTTACATTGAAGATACGCCCTTAATTTATAGATATATTAACATTGTAGACTGACTTTAACATAGGTTTGTTTACATTGTAGACAGACCTTAAAATTTAGGTATGTTTACATTGTAGACAGACCTTAAAATTTAGGTATGTTTACATTGTAGACAGACCTTAAAATTTAGGTATGTTTACATTGTAGACAGACGTTAATAGAAGGTGCATTTACAATGCAAAGCTATAGTAACGCAATCAATCATTAATCGAAAATAGATCAGCGTTGTATTGTAGACTGACCCTTTAAAGTGTGTATACTTAACGTTGGTACACAAATAACGAATGTTAATCTTCTTTAAGGAAAATGAAGGCTAAAATATAACCTCAAAATTAAAAAATAATTTTTAACACAAACAAAATTTTAATAAAAACACAGAAAAAACGCTGGGTAAATTTTGTTGCGGGTAATTTTAACCAATGCTAATTCACATAGACGGTGGCGCCCTCAACTATAGGATAAAATTTGTTGCAGTTAATTTTTATACCGATTTTGGGGTAAAAATTCTACTTTTTTTTCGTGTGAATTAATTTCGAATAATTTTAAAAGATCTAGTTGTAGGCTTTTATTAAAATTTTGAGGTTATGTTAGCTCTTCCTCTGAATGTGAAATTATTTTTTTTTCACTCAGGGCAGAAATTTCAGTGACTTGTAGAAAAATTGCAAATAAAAATGTTGAAATTTAGTTAAAAAAAAAAAGATCAAAGCCGCTGAAAGTTGAAGGCACGACCATGTTTAACGACTTTGTCCAGGACGGCTAATTGAGTGGGCATTGATACGTCGCTCCCCTTTAAATCGATTACTTTAAGGTGAATGTGAAGAATGCGGCCTCCCTCGCTTGTATACACATATTGTCGGTCATTTACCTTTTCTCACCAGAGTCTTTGATTCTAAGAGTTATTCGTCGTTTATTGTATATATATATATATATATACACAAGTGCACCGTCAAAGACACACAGCATCTTCAACTCGAGAGAAACAATCGGTGAAGCAAAGCGCCGATCTCAGTGAAGACGTCTTCTCTCTTTCTCTCACTC